TGATGGCAAATGGTAAGCCAAAGATAACACCGAAGTTGAGAAGATTTAACACTGTACAACATTATATTTTCACACGCTCTGATATTTCCTGTCTGAAAATATGACAGCGTGATCTGTATCAACAGATAACATATCTCACATTGTTCGCTCTTCTATTTCTAAAGATATCAAGTCCACAATCGTGCTATATTCCAATAGTGAACACGACTGTATGTTGGTATAACATTAATAAAATAGATAAATACAGAATCCCTAAAGAAAGCCCAACACGGCAAAATTGAAAATGTTGCAGGCTCGGTTTGATTGAGCCTGTTCATGGACGGTACTGTCAAGTGCAAACTACCGTCCACGCCCCCTAGCACCGGCTTAAGCAGAATTCAACATTTAACATGAACTGGTAAAATTTAGAATTTTGAAACATCCGCAGATGTGTTCATATGGCGGTTATCATGGAACCTTCAATGTGACACGTTAGTGTCATTCCATGAAAAGCGGCATATGGTCCCCAAGTAAAAAATGCGTGTGCCCTAAACGAGAAAACAATGGGCGGAACTAAATAAAATGGAATTTTGAAAGGGGATCTGAGGTTATGAAGAAAATCCAAATAAAGTTGAATTGAAAGTTTAGAAACACTCGTAAACCAATTAAAAAATTAGATTGAAATTGCAGATTCGGTTCAAAATATGATAAACAAGATCAACAAGGAAAGGCGGCGTTCAATGAACGCAACCCCCACATGACCCAGCAACCATGGAGGGGGACACCGACACTGAACGCCGAACAATCCCTTGAGGATGAAAATATAACAACATTGATTGCATGTACGGGGAGACTTTTTACAGCCGCCACACGGCACAAACAACACGGTTGTGAGCATAAAATATGATAAACAAGATCAACAAGGAAAGGCGGCGTTCAATGAACGCAACCCCCACATGACCCAGCAACAAGTCTATTCATACGAAATTCTGAAAGGTACACGCCGTCTTGTACCAGCTTATGCAGTATTCAATCTGAATTGAATTAATGACCAGAATGACTAGAAACAGATGAAATAAGTGGTAACTTAGTGAACACCTGATGTTGTGATGAATATAAAATATGAGAAACAAGATTATCAAGGAAGGGCAGCGTACAATGAACGCAGTCCCTACACGATCCATCAACACAGGACCATCGACAAGGAGCCCAGCAGGACAACAATGGCAAAATGCAATATCTGTAAACAAAGTGATCCCTCGGAAACATTAAAAACAGTTCTGGAATCAATTATTCCGAAGGACCGGACAAATACGGCAACACTGAAGTGAAGTACGGGGACTTTAGGGATTCTATATCTATCTATTTTCTTTAGGATACTTATTTTCTCCATTTCCAGGTTTACTAATAAGGGTAAATCTCTGTGATTCGTGAATGATTGTATCCCCTTGGGGTCAACATTAATAGCCAAACGAGCTTCTTTGTAAAGTGATACATAGCTGACACGACATAACATGATGCAGTTATAAAACATCTGGATAATGTGTGATCCCTCAAAAGCATTAATCACAACAAAATTAAATGGAAATTGCAAAATCGGTTTATCCGCTGTATGAACACATCTGCGAATGTTTCTAAATTCCATTTTCTACACCATTTTCGTGTTTTAATGTTGAATTCTGCTTAAGCCGTTGCTAGTGGGCGTTGACGGTTAGATGCCCTTTCCAGCACCGACCATGTATAGGCTCAATCAAACCTAGCCTGCAACATTGTCAATTTCGCCATGTTGGGCTTTCTTAAAGGATTCTGTTTTCTTCTTTATTTACTGTTTATCCTCTTTTTTTATGAAACATCTGCATCTTCTTCTGTGCTATATTTTTGATACGCATCGTATTCTAGTTCCATCCCACCTCCCTGGCAGGTGGGCGGCGTCCAATTTTAGTCCGGAGCATATATCCTACAAACATGGAGGAATTTTTATGAACTTTCATAGAAATGTTCACCACTATTAGAAGCTGTGTCACCCACATGAACCAGATCTCTACTTCAAAGGTCAAGGTCACACTTAGAGATCCTTGAAAATTGCTTTTCCGAAGCTAGCCTGCTAGCCCGGACACACTTCAATTTCGATACGTGGGTTCTTCTCAAACACACGTAAATGGATAAGGGAAAATTAGGGACACAAGGACTAAAAGATACGGACACCTGAAATAAGATTAACACAACAATTTATTAAATATACATTTCATAAAAACAATAAAATTCGTATATAGTATATTCTGTGGATGGCTCTGGCTTGGGCTCCTCGTCTTAGGTCAGGAATATTCTTCTGTTACGTCTAGAATAATGTATAATATAAGATATAATGAAAGGCTTGACAAATACGGTGTCACGTCTTGCCTGTGGTCTGGTACAAATTCTATGGTAGGAATTACCATAAATGCTATATGGTAACTACAAAATACAGTGGTGTTCTATCCTGGTATATGGGTATCACTATAAAATATGGGATTATGGCTATTCAGTCAGGACCATAAATGGAAAATAATGCCAAACTAGATGATTTAATATAAAGCTTCTATATGAACTATTACTGGCACAAAGTATTATATACCTTTCTGGTGGCTGTAGATACATCCATATTCAATATATTATAGGTGTGGTCTGGTGGCTATCTACCAAGGTACTGACAATTTTGGCAGATTCGGGCTGCTATTTATAGTCTGGGAAGCTGGGTGTTTGCTTGGCTAGGGTGCCTAGCTTGGCAGTATCGTCATCGTCTCCGATGACGTCACTGCCTAGCTCGCGCGGGCAGAATTTTAGCCAGTGCCAGCTGCCATGTTTAAATTGGCAGCGTGTGGCTAATTAATCATTAAAACGACTACAACGTAGAAAATAAGTTATTTTAAGTAATATAACCATCGTAAATATTAAAAGGATGAAGTTATCTGTACATGCAGTGTATGTTTTGAATGATTAAAAGTTGATGTCATGAAGTACTGTTAATTACTTTAGTACTTGAGTAGTTTCCGGATACGGGTTTATTTTCGGACGTAAAATGATGGGTCTGATCGTTACATTGCACCCCGCTCACATGGATTCAGCCCCTGAATAGTAGGAAGGTAAGTATATTTATAGTCAGAAGGTTTATCATTTTACCTAAATAATGTCATTGGTAACACAACATTATGAGATAATTATATTATTGGGTAATTAACATTTGATAATTGGTTATTACACTAATTAGACAGAGGAGTTAAATTAGTCTAACTTTATTATTTGTCAAACTTGGTATGTAACAGTTTAAGTCATAGACACATCATATTAATGCATATATTAATTATTATACATGCATAGTAATAATTAAAATTTGCTAAATATTTGCAATTTTTCCATGTAGGAACATACATGTACGTATTGTCGGAATTGTCAAAATAATTTATGGATGTTGTATAATTACAACTTCAATTATATGGCATAAACAAATTAATCATAAAAAGGGTCATGTATACAGGTATCATTCACTCGGCACAGTCAAATATTAAAATATCGCATTCAAATAGAGCGCTCTATTATTACATTCAGAAATAAATACGTGTAATTTATATTTACAGCGAATAGAGAGCTTGGGTGTATTGGTTAGTTGGTCACCTGGAGAAGCGGTTATTACCAACTGCTCATCTAAACAGAAGTATACTTCATTACATCCTCAGCCTAAAATACACTCCTTACAGTGGGACACTGTACAATCATGGCTGGTACATTTAATAATATTCATAATAAATTAACACTTGGCTAATTTAAGCACATAGGCCGGCAAGTCATATAGACAATATATCATCATACTGAAGTAATTAAATATTATAACATATATGGCCAATATTTGGTACCCCCAAGGTATACCAATAATAAAACTTCACTCTTTGATTTCAAAGGTGGCATCACTTCTTTATAAGTGGGATACAAAACATTGCACTGTTTTGGTTAATCATTTATATTTTTCAATGGCATCATTCTAAATGGTAATTAGCTGTCCATTTAATGACTTTTAGGTCATAATGGTTCAGGCTCATTTGATGGTAATGGTATAATGTCTCTTATAAATTCTATTTGGTTTCGCAATTTAGAGTAATGTTCTCCAGGTTCGAGTTTTGTTATTCTCCAGGTTTGTCATATAACGGGAAAAAGGACCACTCTGATATGCAAACAGAGAAACGATGGTGTCCACCTGTAGTCAATATTTTTGAACAACAGGGAGCGGGTTAAATTGTCCACCAGATGAACAGGCAGTTGAGCAAACAACTGTTCAAATGGGAGCAGGAAGGGGCATATTTGGCATATTTATAGCATATAACTATTTAACTGTCTAGTCTGTTTAGTATTTTTTTCTATTTATTTTATGTAACTGTATAGTTTACTGTTTGAAGGTATCATGCAACACTGTATTAAGTATGAACATTTCGTAATTTCTCAATATTACTGTCCTTCATATTTCACTTATATACACTTTCATTATGTGTTTCTTTAATGTCCTTGTAGAATTCTGATTTTTCTTTGGACACAATCTTCAAGTTTAGGTAATTTATAATATATGGCCTCTTGCTTAAGTTCGTTTAATACTTGCAAGTCATTCGGCAGGCATCCTGCAGGCATTTGGCAATTGTACCTCAGGTAATTCAAAATGAATTTGAAATGGGACGGATCCCGGTCTATTATGATTTTTGCCTCTCCTTTCTTTATGAGTCCACAAGGAATTGATATTAAGGATTTAGGAACCTTCATTAAGGTTGACTTAGTGGTATCAAAGCACTTGCCTCCTACACACAGTGTAATTTTCTCATCTTGCCACCTTCTCATTTCTTCAATCTCTGGTCGTATTTTATCTATTGCATTCTTCACCTCTTCACTAAGTACATTTAGTTCATGCATTTCATTTTCAGACTGACTTTCTGGGATTGATGGACTGGCCTCGCAGTCTTCTGGAGTTATGGTTATAATGTCACTAAAATTTCCGGGCTGTACTGAATTCTCATTAAACTCTAGCGGTCATTTTATGACAATCTCTGACTGTTGTTTTTCACTAGGCTGAGAAGCAGAGTTTATGGTGGTTTGAGGCTGATGTTTTCTTTTGAAGGGGTTTTCTATCTTGTAAGGCTGGTAAGTTTTATTGTAACTTTTGTTAAGTACTGTATCTCTTATTGGAGATAATGGCTTTCTTGGGATTATATTAATTTGTTCATCAATATTGTTTTCTATCTCTTTGTCTAAACTCCTTCTTTTCTGAATTGCGTCAATGCCTGTCAGTCCTGTTTCCCGATGGGCTAGAACATATTTACTGTTTTCCTTACAGTTATGGTCTTTATCTGGTTTTCTTGTATGTGTTTTTCCACAGCCAGTGCATTGATACATAAACCCATAATGAAATGTTTGCAGGTGTCTTCTGCAATCACCAGGATGGTTAAAGGATCTTGGTGGGTTAATACACTTCTTACAGAAGAATCTTGAATTCTGTAATAAATAAATACTATTTTTGGAATCTTGGTAGTAATATAATTTCATCTGTGGTATAAAAACAAATTATATCTCTAGCATAACAAGTTAATATTTATACTAGTATAAGTTTGGCAGTTTGAAACATAATTTCTGTATATTTCAGGTCATGTGGAGTTTGGCTTGTTTGATGGATCATAACAAGTGGATCTACAATGGTCATCAGTTACTGTGGTAAAGAAAATTGTATCAATGGTTTTTAAGTTCATATATTTAGTAACATTTCAATAATAATCTAATGTAGTGAAGGACATCATTGTGTATACCAAGTAGGTTTGTTATTTCCTGTGTAAGGTTTAAGTCTGTCATGGTGTACTACTTTTGCAGGTGACTTTGGTTCTTTCTGTACTTTAAACAAACAATCATTGATCTTTTTAACAATAACCATGGGGCCAGTCCAAGGTCTTTGTAATTTAGGGCTTTTGCCTTTTGTACGTCTAGGGTCATGATACCATACAATATCACCTTCTTCATATGGATGGAAATAAGTCACTCTGTCATATATTCTCTTCATTTGGAATGAAGAAATATCTAATTTTGTTCTTGCATAGTCATGAATCTCTATAATTTTATTTTCTAATTCATACACAAAGTCTATGGTCTGTGTATTTGCATTTTCTACAGGTCTACCCATAACAAGATCTATTTGAGGTTGATTTCTCTGCCAAACATCATAGCACATGGGGAAACACCGGTACTTTCGTGGATACTTGACCTGTAGGCAAACATGAGTAAAGGTAAATGAGAACACCAGTCGAATTGATTTTCACTAACATAGGCGGCAAGCATATTCTCTATCGTACGATTTGCTCTTTCTATCATTCCGTCTGAAATGGTCGTGCAGCAGTTGTTCTTGTCTTGTGGATACCTAACAGTTTACATGTTTCTTGGAATACTTTTGATTCAAAAGTTGTTCCTTGATCACTGTGAAGTTCAAGTGGTACTCCAAATATGGAGATGAATTTGTTAGCAAGTTTCTTAGCTACATATTCAGAAGTTTTGTTTTTAAGGGGACTGGCGTCTACCCACTTGGTGAAATAGTCGCCAACAACAAGTATTAATTTATTTCCACGTTTGGATTTAGGATATGGACCTTGTATATCTATGGCAATTCTTTCTAAAGGCATGCCATCATTGTATTATTTCATAGGTGCTTTAGCTTTCCTTGGAGGAGTTTTCCTCCGGGCACATTGGTCACATGTGTTACACCAATATTTTATATCTTGGCGTAGTTTATACCAGTGAAATCTCTGGATAACTTTTTGTGTAGTTTTTCTAATTCCTAAATGTCCTGCAGTGATACTGCTGTGTAATTGGTCAAATATGATTTGTCTTAATTTGTGAGGTACTATAATTAGGATTGGACTTGGTTTCAAAATGTTAGCTTCTTCAGTCATGTAAAGTATGTCATTGCATATTTTTAATCGGTCTTGCCAGTAATACTTTATTTCTTCATCAAACTTGGATATATCCTGCCAAGTAGGTTTTTGTTTGTCATTGACCCACTGTCTAATATAGAGAGTTTGGGGTCTTGTTTTTGAAAATTTGAAATATTTTGTAAACTGTCTATGGAAGTTTCATCAGTACTACATCCGGGAATAGGTTCACTTGATTCAGTGGCACATACTAACTCAGTAATTTGAGGCATTTCTTGAGTTAAAGGAATTGTTGATAGGGAGTCACAACTTTCAAGGTAAATTTCTTCAACATGGGTGCAGTATTTACATTTGTCATCTGTACATGGTCGACGGCTAAGGGCATCACTATTTAAAGAAATTTTTCCAGGTCTATATTGAACTGAAAAATCATATTGGCCTAATATTTCTAGCCAACGTGGTGCTAGTTGTCCTTCACAATTTTTATTAAATCTCATTAACCATTTGAGACTACCATGGTCAGTTATAGCAGTAAAATGGGCTCCATATAGAAAATGATAGAAATATCTAATACTGCATATAATACTAAGAAATTCTCTTCTCGTAGTACAATAATTTCTTTCGGTTCTCGTCAGGCATCTGGAATAATAACCTATAACTTTTTGTTCTCCATCTTGTACTTGGTTTAACACCGAGCCTATAGAAAATTTACTTGCATCACATTCTAAAGTATATGGTTGTCCCTGGACAGGATATGCTAACACAGGAGCACTTGTTAAGAGCTCCTTTAGTTTCTGAATGGAATTTTGACATTCATTATTCCATATAAAAGTTCGTCCTTTTTCTGTAAGTCTGTGTAAAGGTTTTGCTATCTCTGCAAAGCCTGGTATCATTTTCCTGCAATGGTAATAGACTGGTTTGATTTTGGGAAAATGTTCATCCTAACGGCATTTTTAGTACAAGCAGGTAGTTGGGCTTACTTACCTATTTTGAGTACGCTGAATTCATTTTTGGCTCTATCAAGGCTGTATTTTTAGTCCTTGACCTTTAAAAATCAATTTCAAAATGGCCGCCATTGAATTTTTTAATTTTACTTTAATTCTCCCATGGGCGAGATATATACACACTTTGTGGCATTTTAATTTAAGGCTTTGTTAATTTTAGTCTACTGAAGTGTGGACGAGAAGAATAGATGCAAAAACAATAAAGTTTATTGCGGCAGCCATCTTGGATTTCAAAATAGCGGACAATTTCCTATGTTTAATACACTGTATTATAATTAAAGTAAACAAGCACAAAAAGGCATTTTACTAGGCATGTTTTCTTTTATTAGAAGTGCAGTGATACTAATTAAGACTTCCAAGCGAAGACTTTGAAAAACATCCATTAAAACTACAAACTTAAAGGTGCAAAAAGGTCACAATTTATACCCTAATACAACGTAAATGAGAGTCATATTTGCGTTCACTTTTGTCATTTAGATGTTTTTTATACTTCTAAGAATACAATGCATATTCTTTAAATTATTGCGATGTTTTTTAAAACTATCGTCCTGAGGGGGGACCTGCTCAAATATCTGTCCGTCTGTCTATCTGTCCGAGCGTCCTCTTGTGTCAGTTAGGGGTATTTGCGATCACAATTTGGCTTTTAGATTAATTCCGTATACCCCGACCTATAGGATGAATCATTGATTATGGGAGGCAAAAGGCTTCTTTTGGAGTAAGAAACATACACGAAGATAACAGACATTTTACAAATCTCCCAGTAAGAGCCTGTCCCTGTCAGTCCGTTTTTAATCCCGTCCATATGATATCTGTCATTTTTGGATAGATTTTGAAATAAATTGCAGTAATGTGTGGCACATTAGAAAGACCCAGGTGTGAAGCTCAACTCCTCAAGTTAGACTTGAAAATGCTTGAATAAAGATGTGCATTTTAGTATTCTGTCATTTAGAGATGAATTTTGACATAGTTAAGCATAAATATACGACCTACAACGGATTGGAAAATGATATACTTTATATTATTACTTAATCTTCAAACGGGGATACCATGACAAATGTTTGGTTGTTGCTTATGTCAATGTCAATTGCCAAGAACATGTACTTGGACGTGTAATGCTTGAGAGCCAATTCAACAGTCCAAAGATCAGGGTCATGTCTATTAAGAAAGGCAATTTTGTAAAAGTTCATAAGTGGGGAACCCGGTCAACAATTTTTCATGCACGATCTGATATTGAAAAAAAGTCTTAGTATTTCCAAAAGTAATATAGGAATCGCCATCCAGGCTAGCATTCGAAAAAATATTTTTTTCATGAAATAGAGAAATATTCCATATGGTGTTTATTCCATAGAAGCCTCTACATACTAGTGCCGAGCTTCGTGCATAAGGATAGTATTTCATTTGCTTATATGTAACCCGAAAAAAAACATGGTGGTTGAGGCCCCTGTGTTAGGACTTTTTTCGTTTATTTTGTTATCGTGTGATATTAAATTATCTGTTTTGATTGACCTTGAGCAGGCGGAGTTCGGGTAAAATTATTTGAATCTTGTTAATTATATATGCCGCCGTCCTGGAACCTCAATAACTGCACAAATGTGTAATTTGAAAAGGTCGTGTCATGCACAAGCAGCAAGCAGGGTTATGTCTACAGTTAAACTTCTATATCATAAATCATGATATAAACGTAACAATATGTTTGTGTCCGATCTATAACTTTCTCATTAATTGATGCCTTTTGAAATAATTCATAAATAATAATAAAAAAATGCATAAATATATGGCACATTGGGACAATGAGTCACATGTAAAATACAGCTGATGATGTAAATCAAGGACCAAAATCATACTCTCCCTTCGAACAAAATATTTCCTTTAAGTCTCTAAAAAGTCTGGTTAACGATTTTGTCATTCATGGATGAAATAAAAATCATTTTTGGAAAAATATGGCGCCTCTTTATAAGACGACATGTAGCGGACAAAAGTTCCAAGGTCACACTTGTATTTCAAAAGTCCATATACATGTATGTGTTGTTCAGCGGGAGCTAAGAATAAATACGTGGTACTTTGAAACAATTTGTCTTGAGTGAGAAAAGAATTATCGAATAAAGTAAGATTCCAGACATTAAAGGCCATATGTCATTTCATATAAATATTTTGAAGGTCATGTCCGGTCATGAATTCTGTCATTCAATGGATGGATATTGGAGTAACTAGGCATAAATTTGTGGCACATTAGGATTACTTGTAATGCTTAAACACTAGGTTGACAGCTAGATAGGTCAATTTAGAACATTGATGGTTGTGTCTATATCTTTGTCATTTATTCATGGATGCTTTTCAAATTAATAAGAAATACTGATGATATAAATAAATGCTTCTTAATGTTTCTAATGTTTGAAAAACTTGTAAGACTACAGTGACCATGCCTCCAAAGTAAAAAATGGAAAAGAAGATAAACAAAGAAAAGTGGCGTTCAATAAACGCAGCCCCAACACGACCCAGCAACATAGGTAATGGATCCTTAACTGAGCCGAGCTTCGGAGACATTTCAAGTGGCACGCCCTTGTTTATCTTTGTTTTACATAATTGTCAGGGTAGTCCAAAAATAGTTGGTACAAATTTTAGTGACTAAAATTACACTAAGAAATACCAAAGTAATTTTATGGGGTGATAGTTGAAAAAATATGAGATAAAATGATATCAAAAATATGTTATATCATAATGGAATAAGATACTCTCCAATTTCTTGAAAGATAGCCAAGAACAAAATAAGTATGAAGATTTGAATATATCTTAGTCACATGAATGATTTTAAAACATGAGATTAAATAAGGTGCAGCGTCCTTAGCAAAGTGACATAATTATAATGTAGACGTTGATATTAACTAAGACAATGAATAAATACCAAAGAATTAAGACAAAACGCAAACAACTCGTATTTTCAGTTAAGTAAATAAAATTTAAAGACATAGGCTTCGACGGCATATATTTTACATAATTTAGTAGCAAAAAACCAAAATGCTCTATCAAGTCATTCTGTGTTAATAAAAAAGTGTAAACAGCAGTGAATCGTCAATATATTAATTGCAGAATTGGTATAAATTAACTGTCTAATCTTCTATGCATGTACTATCGTCAAATACAGGCATTAGACCTATAATGTTTTACTCTATATTATTCATTAACCAAGCTCGTAGACTGTTTATGGTTCATGAATTTTGCGTAGGCCGGTGCTAGGGTGCTTGGACGGTACTTTGCAATTTCCAATAACGTCCATGTACAGGCTCAATCAAATCGAGCCTAAAACGTTTTCAATTTTGCCGTTTTGATCGCTGTTTTGGGATTCTGTTGTTGTTGTTTTG